TGTCATGTCATAAATAGTAGACACTCAAGTACTATAGAAACATATTAGCTAAGCTCCCACACATTTATTTTTTTAGATAATTATGGGCCATTATTCGAAGCATAAACCATAAGATATGTCCACCCTGTCATGGACATATATATTACTGTTAAATACGTTTTCATTGCAAAATTAAGATGCAAATTATATTTTCTGAAAGGTAGGATGTCCCTTTCGTAAAGAGGGTTATTTGTTTGCTTTCAAATTATAAATGCATAAAAGATTTGATGTAAAACGTGTTTTTAAAGAAACTCATACAATTTGCACATGTATTTTTTCTTATTTGGAGAAAACTGTGATATTTGGATGCAGTTTTTTTGTTTGCATGTTATTGCCCCTACACCTAGCTATTGAACACACTGGATTATATAGATATGATTGAATTATTATTTAAAATATTATTGTAAAATTAAATATCAAGATGACAGGGTGGACCAGCACATGACGGGGTGGACATGTAAAGCAGAACACACAAAGCATGACAAAATATGACAATTAAACATTTATTCAACTTCGATGAGTTATTTATGTACAGGACATCAAAAGGCACCCTACAGTGATATTGACCCAGTTGTAGTTGTACAAAGTTTTTTTTAGTTTACACAGACTATAATTTTTAAAAACATGCGCTTTCAAACTTGCCTTTTTTCTAGTTTTCAAATGTTTGTATTTTCAGGCCCCCAAAACACTGTTGTTGTATAAATGAATGGCCAAAACGTGTAGTTTTCCATTTTTAGTTAAAAACGGCTTGTGTAAACTGCCCCTAAAGCTGGCTGCACACTAGACGATTTTCAAATCCTAAATGATTTTAAAACCATGGGAGACCACAGACATGAAGACAGTTTCAACCGATTGTTAGCCTTCCTCTGAACGCGCACACTAGACGATTCCAGCAGACCGCGAGACCACGCACTTGATGATTGTAGGAACGATTTCACAGTGACACGTGATCTCACGGAGACTCGCAATATCAAACGTGACTAGAGAAGATAAACAAATGGAGAACAATCGGCGATGGCAGCGAACAACAGTGAAAAACAAAGTATAACAAAGAATATGGGCGATGTATTCTGCTTTTTTGGCATTTTTGTGGCTGCCAAGTTTCAGCTATAGAAGCACGCAACATCCAGTAAGTGACGCTTGCTCACTCTCATTGGCTATCGCGGGTATCACGTCAGAGGCAGCCAGATCAAGAGTCGGAAATATCAAACATGTTTGATGTTTACGTTTTGAGTTCGGCGACGCTCCGTCTCGATCGGGAGCAGTTAAATAATCGTAATGACAACACACAATAGAGGATTTTTTTTGGCCCCAAAATATTTTGCGACAAGCCTCAAATTGGGCCACGCCCCCCGATCTTTCAGAAATGCAAACCGGGCTTAAAATCGGCCTTAAAATCCTCTAGTGTGCAGCCAGCATAAGTCAGTGTTGCCCAACTGTTGTACTGGAGTACTGCCAACATTACACTTTTTGGATATCTCCATTACCTGGCACACCCATTTCAGGTCTTGGAGTCTGTACTAACAAGCTGATGAGTTCAGTCAGGTGTGATTAATATGCGTGTTTGGGATACTCCATGATCAGGGATGAAAACCACTGCTCTGTATTTTTACTGTAAACCCTATAAACCAATGGTACTTATCCTAAGGCCAATCCGGAACCAAAGAGCTACATTTAAAAACAGTCTCTAGTCTAAGGCGTACAGAATGTTTTGCACTTTTCCTCTCAACGCTGCCATCAAAGGATGGCTTGTGAACTTCAGGCTGAATACTAAGCCTTTAAACCTTTTGATTTATTTCCCAGGTGGTGCATTTGAGTGGGACGATGACTTCCCATCTCCAGAGCCCAATTTCCTTTCAAAGGCAGCCAGTGATCATTCTGCCAGTAGGCCCAGTGGGACCTCGGCGGCTTCTAAGTATTTCTCACCACCCCCTGCGAACCGCACCCTGGAGCAGAGCTGGAACAGTCCCTCCAACTACTCGCGCTTCTCCATCTCCCCAGCCAGCATCGCCAGCTTCTCCCTCACCCACCTCACAGACTCTGACATTGAGCAAGGGGGTAAGTTCAGCACCAACATCCACACACAAACAGAGTGGGACCTCAAGAATCTGAACTCTCAATCTTGTTTCTCGTTTTCTTTCTCAGGAAGCAGTGAAGACGGAGAGAAAGATTAAACAATCTATCAGACACGCATAAATATTGGAGATATGTCGCGGATGTATTTGATTTGAAGGCTTTGATTGCTTCTCAGCATTGGTATTTATTTGGGGATATGAAGGGGCCTGCAGAGACTGAGCTGATGGCAACCTGTTTTCTGCACAGTCGTCTGGTTTTCCATAAACTATGATTTGCTATGTTTTTCTTCAGTGCAATTTGGAGGAACCTTGCTTCACATATGCTTTCAGAAACTTTTGCGCACTTCCTAAATGCCCTGCCTCACTTTTTTTCTTTTGCTCATTTGCAGTTCTTCATAGTGTCCACATTTTACGTCAGAAGGATAAAGATGAAATGTATCACTCAACCAGAGGACTTTCTGTTAAACACTAATGAGCCAATAGACTCGAAACTCAGTTGTGCAATTGGAATCGTATAATACTTGCCTTTTATTTTAACACACTGGATTTTATTTCATTTTTTATGTGAAATCTAGCGTGACGAGCTTATTTATATGATCGTGTAATGGATTTGATGTCCAATAGAAGCAACAGGGGTCTCCACAGATATTTTTGTACAGTGTTTGGACTACTTACAAGCCACTTTCACCCAAGCAACAACTAGCGTAGTTTCAGTGACATGTTTTGTATTAAAAGATGTAGAAGTCAGGATACGGGCAGCTGGAGAGTTTTGACTATGAGATGCTAAGTCTAACGTAGTGAGCATTCTTTGTCGTTGCAGTCTGTTCATGAGGAATACACGGAGTGCTGCGCATCAGGGCTTTTAGCTGTATAGTGCATGGGCCATCGCAGTGCCTCACACCCCCTCTCATCCCACTTGAGGACGCCCTTCATCCGAAATGAACTTCAGTTCAGGTTTGCCTTGTGTTTTTTATTCAGTGCAAAGGGGATCTAGAACATATCCAGGTCATATTTCACCCCAAAATCAAAAGAAAGTAACAGGAACTTGTATTTCGCTTAAAGAAATTTTGGGTAGAAATGTGGCCCAGACACTCTTTGTGAGATTCATCATCATTGTTGGCGGTAGATTGAACTACATGTTCAGTGAGTAATTATGAAAGCTTTGGTGGTCAGAGAGACTAGATAGCTAGCAGAACTTCCAAAGGCAATGGCTGCTTGTAGCATTGAGTAGAAATACTATTTAAAGAAAAGAAAAAAATCAAAGAACCTCCATAAAGTTCTGATTCCCTTGTGTTAACATTAAAGAGCAGCTTGCGAACACTCAAGGGATGGGAAATGATTTAGTTTTCCCTCTTTTTTTTTGGTGCGCATGTATTATTCATTGGACCTGAAAGGTAATCGTCATAGGTCGCATACATCATTTATATTTGCCAATCTTGCTGCTCGTGATGCTTTGGGTTGACAGTGACAGAGATAAACTAATGTATATAGTAGAAATCAAATCGAGGTGAAACTACACAATCGGCACGAAGAACGTTCAACATCATTGAATATTTCCTTGGTTCAGTCTGGAAGAACGTTGATTTTGGTATGATATACTTAAAATGATGTTGCATAAATTGGGACGCTGATTATTTGTAGAGGTTATCGCTGGAATAATCGGGTGCATATCGTCTACATCCCCTTGTAATTCAGTACAGTGATCTCTGTGTTTTAGACCTGTTGACTATCTGTATTACCAGCACTCGATTTCAGTTCAACTTGAAATTTTATGATAGGAAATTCTTTGGTTTTATTCTACAGTATACTTTGCTTAATCTTGCACATCTTTAAAGTGTAACTTAATGTTGAATTGTTCTCCTGTATATAAATGTTTAATTTTGTCTGTAAATTGGGAACGATATGATGACTGATTTTGTAATTTAAAGCTAAAATGTGACCGAAGTGATCGAAAAAGACAAATTAATGATGAATTAAATGGGGAAATGCAGGTCATCATGTCCTTATAACTTGTAAATTTTAAAAAATGGTGATATTTTTACTTCATATTGATGATGATGATCATGTCTAGTGTCATTGAAGGAATGGTTTATAATTAATTGCTCTTGTTTATTATGGAATTAAATGACAATGAACTTCTATGTCTTGTTTTAATCTTTTGTCATGCATGTTTCACAGATACTTTCATTTACAGGAGCAAGCATTGGTGTGTGTTTGGGGTAGAACCGTCAGATCAAGAACAGGTTTTTAGAAACCCTTTTTTTTTTTGTGTATTTTTGCAATTCCGCAGAAATTCATAGAAATATATTTTCTTAAACTCACAAATGAAAACAAGCTGGTGCTTTTTAACAGATCTTTATTGGGAAAAAACCCCCCCAGCATGTCAGTGGTTAGATCACAGTAGGAAAGTTGTGTCTCTGACAATGCAAGCGGACTGAAATAAAATCATTTTCGAATAATATAATCAAACCAATAACATAAAATGGTCTTCTACTCATTACAGAAACAAATACAGCAACAAGAAATAACATAACATGCTTAAAACAAAGAGACATTAGTGGATCGGGTGATTCAAATCATACACATACAGTAATCAAACGTCACACCCAGAAAAGTGATGTTTGTTGTTCAGGCAAGTGGAATCAAAAATAAATAATCACATTTGGTTGGAAGGGCACAGGACACAGAGACAGGAAGGGTGTAAAGAACAGCAAACTGGGAAATGCCGTAAAGCATGATGAAGGTGGTGATGATGATGGTGGTAGGTGGGCACTATATCTAGCAGCCCACAACATTCCCGTTCACCTGACTCTGTGTGCGGCTGGGCATTGGACTGCGAGGTGCCATACGCTGGGCCTCTATAGAGTTCCCTCTCACAGACAGGTGCTCCCATCTACCCTGTTTTAGTGCATTAGTTGAAGAAATGACTCTCAGAGTAAAGATCTGTTGATACTAATTACAAGATTTAAAAACAAAAATGCATCTTTAACCTGAATGTAGAATATTGTACTGAAATTATGCTCTATTTAAATTTGGAAGCTAGGTCAATTTCTTTGTATGACAATCAAATCAGTTAGCTTTCTAAACCTTTTTTTTTTTTTTGGAGGAAGGCACAATTCAGCATTAGACTTAATGTGGAAAAACTCACCCCAATGCCAAAGTCCCAGCTGAGGCCTTTGGACTGCATGGGCTTCACTCCCAGTCTGTGGCACACCGTTCCTGAGCTCTCTGATGGATAACCTGGCACTTTATCAGCGATTATCCAAACCTGGACAGATACATTACGACCACTTTCCAGTTTCATAACAATCAAAGCAATAAAACCTAGGAAACATTATTATTTATATTTGGGTAGTTGGACGGGGGTGTATGTGGGCATTTTCCCAAAGAAAGTGGGTAAAGGAAAGATTAATGCTATAACAGAAATGCAGGATGAAATAATAGTGAAAAGAGGAAGCAAAAGCTTTCAGCATACAGAGTTGTGCAGCATGTACAATGAGAACAGCAAAGGGCCTAAAAATGCGCACTAACTCAATATAAGAACAGACGAGAGGAGGATATTCATTCTGAGGAAAATGATAAATAAAAACCCCAAGAAGTCAATACAAGGGATTTGTGTCTAATAGCTTCTGAAGTCAACGATATATGCTATATATTCACTTCATATGCCCCGTTAAATGCTCTCCAAAATGATAATGTCCCTCCCCCTAAGTCATACATACTACCCTTTAAAGGTTTTTAAAATGTAATTTATTCCTTTATGATAAAGCTGAATTTTCAACATAATTTCTCCAGTCTTCAGTGTCACTGAAGTGTTCTTATAAGCTGATTTGCTGCTCAAGAAACATTTCAGATTATTATCAATGTTCAAAACAATTGTGCTGCTTAATGCTTATGTGGAAACTGTGATGCATATTTTTCAGGATTCTTTGATGAATAGATTTAATGTCAATTTAATGTGTTCTTGCTGAATAAAAATGTTTTATGTGTATCAATATTAATTTGTATATTTTTTGTTCTATTTGACATTATATTTGAGGAAATGACATCATCAGTATTTTTCAATACATTGCTAATACATATTTACATTTGGATTGGTCATGTCATACTCTATATTTAAACAAAGTACAAACATATTGGCTGTATATTTAATTTATTTAGTCATTTAGCAGACGCTTTTATCCAAAGCGACTTACAAATGAGGACAATTATATATAAAAAATATGACAAATAATGTGGTGTGAAGGGGTGTAATTAATTCCAACTTGCACTGACTTTAAATTTCCATGTCATGGGATATTAATATTTTTTCAGTTATGCGTTATTTATGTCTAAGGTACACTGAAACTGTCTGATAGAACCAGACGTTACTTTTCTGAGCGGCAGTACTTGCCACACATTTGACAGAGATTTACAAGATTCTGCAAATCATTCACCATCGTCCTCAGTCATCTCTCCTTACTCTGTTTATGTGGTAAGTGAAAGTTTATGTACTGTAGGATGTAACAGGCAACCGTTACACCGTGTCTACACCGGACCCGACAGTTGTCGTGTCGCGCCACATCAGCTAAAGTCTGTCTACACTGGACGATTTCAAATGTCAACACTGGCTACCAGAAATCGCTTACCCCACCTTTAACCCATTCGGGATGTGTCTTCCTTTGGTGGTTTCTCAGTGTCTGTGGCGTTTACTTTGGGCGTGAGGTGAGAAAAGATGATTTCCTCTCGACTTTTCAACTGAAATGAAATTTTGGAGATCACGTGGCCCTGTTTTGTGAGGGTGGGTGCAGGATAGTGACACGGTTTAGTTCTCACAGCCGGGTTGTTGGCGGTGACTCCCAGGCGGCACAGCACATCTCCCTTCTCACTGATGGCCCACACAGGAACCTGCTCCAGACTGCACTGGGCCAGACACGGCAAGACGGTGACGTCAGTCAGAGCGATCGGAGGAACCTTCTGCCACGGGCCAGTAAGGCCGATCTTACACTTCCTGTGACAAACACTCTTATATAGCTTTTCTTATATAAAGGGGCCTCTGTTAAAGTTTTTTTGCCCCAAACTAGAGAGAAACAATGTTTTTGCTAACAAAAACTTGTGTAAATGTATCTTATCAAAGAATCAGGGTATTCAAAAGCAGCAAAAATGTGAACTAACCTAGCCCACCGCCTGCGTCGCACAAAGTCCTTCATCGTCTTATAACCATGAAACGTCCTGAATGAACATAAAACATATATTAGCTTGAGATTGAAATGTCTAGTTACTGTTCTATTAATAGGTTTAAAGTCAACATACACTGGGAAATCTGCAGCATACTGCCAGCCCTCTTTATCTGTCCCTCCTGGGACACCGTAGTCAACAGCCCAATCAGAAACCTGTGAGAGTGAGATGCAGATATCAGTCACAGACAATAACTAATCGATACAATACTCCAAATGGTACAGTGCACTAGAAATACTACAGGCTGCTCAAGAATGCAATCTTTTTGCGAGTGTGCTGTTGTACCCATGTCCACTGCGGTGAGGGAGGGCTGGTGTTGTCTTTGGTACACTCTCTCAGACCTGAAGCATCGCTCCACATGTAACGATCTGTGGGAAGACCCCTGAGGACCACAGCAGACACGGAGCGTTTACAGCAGGTACAGTAAACAAGCAGCAGAGCTCAGGGAAATGACACGCACTTGTCTGTGTATCCTGCCATTGGGTTCCAGCGCTGGTTCTCATAGATGTACACACTCCTCACATCACTTATTGCTTGGTTAAGGTTTTCATTTCCTGAAATGAATGAGATTCAAACATCGGGCAGAAGCAACTAGAAAGAGTTTCTCTAAAATAAAGATTTGATTTCTGATCCTGAATGAAAGCACATTTGAAATAAAAATACAAATGGGTAAATAAGAAAACACTGGGTCACATTTCCTAACTGTGCATATACATGAATTTGTGTGAATTATGAGTAGAAATGGTTTCTTGTAAAACGGATAGTTCCGGTCCTTGATTCTGATTGGTTGAGCCGCGTTCAAAGCTGTTGTAAATTACTCTACAAACATACACCTTTGTTTACTTCTGTGTTGCTCGGCAACCACTTTGTTGCAACCACAACTGTTTCTGAGGAACTACATTACATTATACTTTATTTGCTCTGTTTTATTTACACGGAACCGTTTTATAAAAGCAATAAGCCCCGTGAAGCCGTGGTTTACAGTGAATTTATAACAGCTAAGGGGGTTTTAGCTGTTATACAACAACGCCCCTTAGCTGTTATAAATTCACTGTAAACCACGGCTTCTTGGGGCTTATTGCTTTATTAAAAGCAAATCAGTTTTCATTAATTGTATTCAAATGTATTCTAAATGTACAAAAAAAAAATATATGAACAATTGAAACCAAATTTTCATTATAAAGTTAGTGGTTATTTTTACATTATAGACATGCATGCATCATAGCATTATGACCATGTTAAGAGGAAATTTTATTCATCAATATTTAATCTTAACTGTAACTTATACAGTTACAGTAACTGTAACTATATATATATATATATTAGTGCTGTCAAACTATTAATCGCGATTAATCGCATACAAAATAAAAGTTTTTGTTTGCATAATATATGTGT